AGGCCGCCCCGAGAGTACTCCGAGAAGCTCCCAAGAGACATCCGAAGAGACTTCGAGACGCATCCAAGAGTACCCTGGCCTTTCTGCTCGCCCTCCTCCTCCTCCTCCTCCTCCTCCGATTCCTCCTGCATGCTTCCCTCTCTTGGGGTATGACGGCTTCCCGAGCCCTTTGTTTCACTGCATGCTCCTCCACATCCATCGTCAGGGCAACTCCCTGGGACACCGTTTCTGGATGGGCTGGTGGGGCTACGCGAAGCGTCCAGAATTCATGTTGCATTTATTGTTTGATTGCCCCTGGAGGCCTGTGTGGGGCTTTCCAGAGATCTCCAGAGACTCTCTCCAGGGGAACGCGAGGGGAGGTGGGGTCTGAGTCACCGAACTTCGCGATTCGTGCCGAGCACAGCGCGAGGCGTGGCTGCGGTCGAAATCGATAGTACCAGTCGGTCGGAAGAAGTGGGTAGAAACAGAAAGTAGGAAAGCGTTGGAGATAGATTGGACTTCCGCCCGCCCCCTGAAGAGGAGGGAAGAGGGACAACCGCCAAACTCTTGAAGTACAAAGGCGCTTAAAATAGATCGGGATCTAGATATCCAGAAATGCCTACGTTCAACGACTGGCGTGTAAGGATGTCGCCTAGTATCTAATGGCTCAGGGTGGGTTGAAGAGGCAATGACACGAAGTTAGCCTTGATACCGTACTGCATCCTGACTGTCTTCGCGCTCTTGCACGGCCCCTTTGGCGAAGAATCGCTCTGGCGTGAGGTGGAGGGGCGAGGGGAAAAGGGGCAGGGCGAAGGGGAATGAGGGATGGTTGGAGGAGACGGGGAAATAAGGGTCATTGGGGGCAGAGTGGGGCGGGGGGGAGACGATGGGATGGGATGGGGATTGGGGAGGAAATTCGTGGGATTGGGAAAGGGAGGAGGGCGGGGCGAGACAGTGGAATCGTATGGGGTGGGGGATGGGGCAAGGTATGGTGGGTGTGCTGAGATGGGGAGATGTAGGCAGATGGGGGAGGATGGACATGTGGATGGGCGATGGGGAGAGCGAGAGGGATGGGAGGGAGTGGAAAGGAGGGGGAGGGGATGGGGATGAGGAGGGGGGGAGGGCGAGAAAGGCAGGGAGTCCAACGGCTCGCCATTATAACAGGATGTGGATGGCGCCGTCTTTCTGTACACAAGCCTATAAACACAATTGCCGAACTGATACACGTGCATGATGGGCTTGGTGGCATCATCGCTCCGATGCAGCCGAGGCGGGGAACACCGAGACCCGCCCCTGGGGCTGCGGCACGGCGGTGCTTCGCAGTGCGCAAACACCTTCGCCGGCGGGGGGGGGACGAAACGAGGGGATGCATGCACAGTCATGGTACTGCCAGAAGGAACGCCAGATAAGGAACGAAACACCTATCTGCAGAACCAACGCACAAACATTTCAAAGAAGCGGCCGGGCCCCCTTTTGAAGGCGTTCCCTCGTCGCTGCCACTCGTCTTGAAAACGACCCCTCCCCTCCCAAGGAACGCCGAGGGGGCTCGCTGGCAGAACTGCGGGGGAACGCAGGCAGACCCAAGGAACCACCGGGCCCCTCCCGAACTCGATCTGGGCCTCATGTCAGCGCCATGCCCGTGTGCATGTACCGTGGCACGAGAGGCCCGGCGGCCCGACACCTAAAGCAGCGCGAAGAACTCCACCCACACAACACTCGAGAACGAGTACCGCGCTCGAATAAGAGCAGAGTTGTGCTTTGCAGGTCCCAGTGCCAATTGCTGAGCCTGGTCGGAAAACCTTGGCGGTCAGAGCGTCCACCCGAACCCGGGCGGAGGCTCCGAATCTGGAGCGGGGCGGGGGCCCGACGGGGCGGGGGGAAACATCTCCCCGTATCGCCCATGCTGCGCTGATCGAGGCCTGGGTGTCGCAACCTGCCCAGCACCATGCGGCTTCGCTGTCGGGGGCTGTCGCCGGTGTATCGGCGGTGCATCGCCGACTACAAATCGATGTCCATCCCTGTCTGGCATCAAGGGAAAGAGCCCTGGTGGGAGCGGGTCTTGGATCTGGGGGCTTTCGCCAGGGCTGGGTTTTCATCCTGCGTAGGTCTTTGATGGCCAAGATGGCCCTAGTCGCCCAAGGAACGCGACATGACGCTCGAAATGGCCCCCAGACGGCCGAAGAGGCTCCCAAGATGCTCTAAGAGGGCTCCCTGAGGACCCTTATGAGGGCCACGATCTGTGAACATCATTGATTTTCTGTAGGTGTTCAATGGATTTTACGGTACTCTTCTTTTTGGACTTTCGACGCTCCAAGATGGCCCAAGAGGCTTCCAAGATCGCCCCAAGACGGCCCAAGCGACCCCAAATAGCGCCCCCAGACGGCTCAAGATGGGCCCAAAACGGCCCAAGAGGCACCCAAGACGGCCCATTAGGGCCCCAAGAGGGGCCCAATAGAGGCCCCAGAGGTGGTAAGAACCGACATTTGGAGCCCTTCGCCCCACGATGGCCCCCGAGACCGCCAGCAAGCCCCCCCACACCCTCCAGGAAGCCCCAAAGGGGTCTAAATCAGGCCCCGCGAGGCCCCCAAGAGACCTCCGAGACGCCTCCAAGACACCCCAAAACCGAATCCAAGAAGCTTCCGAAGAGGCCTCCCGAGAGATCCCGTGTGGCGGGATGGACCGAAGGCCACTAGACTCGGGGAGACTTAAGACTCGTGTCCAGGGGACTCGGGTTGGCCTGACGGGGCCATCATGAAAATGACGAGACCCAGTCTGAAATTTGACGCGAGCTCCCGCCGCAAGCATCCGACGAACACTGGATCGTCAAAATCCAGGACGCACTCGCCGAAAAGCGTCGCCAAGCCGAGCTAATCACGCCGTGGTTCCCCCAACGCCCCGACCCTTTCCCCGCCGGGCCAGCTCCTGGTCCCACGAGCCGCTTCTGCACGGCCCCAGGGCCCGGCCGACGCCGATGGCAACACGCAGAACCTCAGGACGACGCCAGGACGAGGACACATTCGGGTGAGGATGCATCGAGAATCCCTTAGGTCCGGCGGCTCCGGAGGATGCCTCGGGCGCCGCGGCCTGCTCCGAGCGTCCTGGAACTCTCTGGGCGCGTTCCAGAACGTTCTGGAACGGACTGATCCTCTAGCCCCGTGCGAAAAGGGGGACGAAGAGAAGGGCCCCAAAGGGGGACTTCTCTTCACCCCCCGTTGAAGTCACTCCCATTACCACCCGCCCGATCCAAGGCGGGCAGGCCCAGGCCATGATGGACCTCTTCCGGGGGCCCTGCCCGAAACCTGCGCCTTGACTTCTCCAAGACGCCGGGAGCCTGGGCCACCCTGGTCAACCCCCGATGACGACGGCGGCGACGACCACAGACCAAGTGGACGCCTGAGATCCGACGTCGCCAAGAAATGCAGCATCGTGAGAAATCACGACGACAGCTCTGGGCTTAGGTCGGGCATGTTCCCCCACAGGAGGATTTTGGAAGAAGAATGAAACCGAGTCAACAAATGCTCACAACTAGTCAAGAAAGCAATAACAATCGTCACCAGACAACTTCTTTACAATTCTTGACTGCTCCTCCTGTAGAAGGACATGCCCGATTTAACTCTGGACTTCTAATTCCTGTAGAAGGGCATGCCCGACATGAGAGTCCAGGGTTCGCTAGAAGCTGGTTTTCTCTCACAACAGCCGGAACCCTCCCGAAACCCTCCGAAAGCCCTCTGGGGAGGGTTCCTGGAAGGTTCTCGGAGGGTTTCGGGATGGTTTTGGGAGGGTTTTCATTGTTTTGGAAAGAAGCTGCTCCCTAGCAAGCCCTGGGTTTTCTAACTCTGGACCCCATCATGCTGCAGCACTTGTCGAGCCGCACCGATCTGTCAGGGGGTCCCGGGCCCGACTCTGGGCGAAGATGCCGTGTGAAAAGATCGCACTGCCCACATCCCAGGGGCCCGATGAGGACCAACGAAGACCTCGCCGCCCGCCCGCCCTCAAGCGCCGCCGCCGCGCAAGCGGCTGGCACTGGAACGGTCTCGACGAGGCGCAGCCGCTGGAGAGCAGCCCGAGGCTGGAAAACCGCCGAGAGCCGACGAACGCATCGGAAGACCTCTGAGCCTAGCCTCCCCCAACCCAGACATCCGACGCCTTGTTTTGTTCAACACGGGGTCCCCGAAAGCGCCGACCCTTTCTCCCCAGGGCCGGCTTGCCATCCCGAGTCGTCTTTTGACCGTCTGGGGGCCCTGCGATGGCCCCCAGATGCTGAAGATCGCCAGACACCTTCCGTCGTGATTTGTTGGCACCGCGAGGGGGCCTGGGAACGTTGCTCGGGTACACGTAAAAGTGACCCTGGGCACGACCGACCTTGGTGCGCGACTTTCGGGGCCTGCGGGGAGGCCGAACCGGAGCGCGCAAGCCGCTGCTATCGCATCGCATCCCGCCATCTGGGGACCCCAGCCCGGGGACGCACTGCCCAGGGCCAATCCAAACCTGGGTCACAGTCGGGCTTTGCAGGATCCTGCAGGATCGTGCAGAATCGGTAACCCTGGGTCAATCCACTCTTGAATCTGCAAAATCCTGTAAGATCTGGCGTTCTGGCTGACTCCCGTTTGAATTGCACCCCGTCTTCAAGGCTCTCGACCATTGTGCCCGCACCATAGGTCATTCCGGCGAAAGGTCACTCGCACGGAAGAGAAGGCGGAAGAGGAGGAGGAGGAGGAGGAGGAGGAGGAGGAGGAGGAGGAGGAGGAGGACGTGGAGGAGGAGGAGGAAGGAGGAGGAGGAGGACGTGGAGGCGGAGGAGGAGGAGGAGGAGGAGGAGGAGGACGAGGAAGAGGAGGAGAAGGACGAGGAGGATGAGGACGAGGAGGTGGAGGAGGAGGACGATGAAGATGAGGATGAGGTGGAGGAGGACGATGAGGAGGAGGATGAGGATGATGATGAGGAGGAGGAGGAGGAATTTCCCCTGGGGACCTCGCCGCCCGCCAAGGTTCGCGGGCGCCGCCGCCTCGCCTGCGGCTAGCCCGCGGTCTTCCCGCTGGCGGCGGGCACCCGCGCGTGGCGGCGCGACCTCGCACAGTCCTCCGCCGCCAGCCCGATGCACGTCCCGAGCCCGGCCCAGACCTGGGCAGGCCTCCTCGTGCTCCTCCACGCCCTCCTCGCTTTTTTTTGTTTCTCCTCATCCCTCCCTCCCTCTACTCCTCCTCCTCCTTCTCCACATGCTCCTCCTCCTCCTCCTCATCCTCCTGCTCCTCCTCCTCCTCCTGGTCCACATGCTTCTCCTGCTGATCCTCGTCCTCCTGCTTATGCACATCCTTCTCCTTCTCCTCATCCCCTATTTATGATATGTATAAACAGCTATCACTGTATATACATGTATATATATACACTCCTACTCTCCACCACAGCCACCCGACCAAGGTCGGATCCGGGACTGTCCATCCAACGTGTGGAAAACACGTTAAGCTCGACGATTTCCGTCTCACCATGATTTACGTCGTCCACGTTGCAAGTTGCGTGGCAGGAATGGGACGTGGCGCAGATCCAGCAACATCGGCCGAACCGTCGCTCTCCCCTCGTCACCGCGGCCACGTCTCTGGAGAATTGAGCTCCCGCTCGAGCGTGGCGCACATTTGTTGCATGCAAGGTTGTCGACGCGCGAGCGGGCGAAAATGGATCTGTCGCCTCGGCGCTGCGTAGATTTCGCCCGAAAGTGGCGCTCTCGCCTCGACTCGGCGCTTGTTTTTTACCCGCCATTTTGTTTGGGGGCCCCGTGCGAGTGGGCCACTCGACGCCCACGGCACGCCAGTGGAGACGTCCGAGACAGACGTGCAAGACCTCCAGAGGCCCTGAGACTCGACGTAGCGAACAAAAGTAGGGGAACGAACAATGACACAAACATAAGAACTCGGAGGTCCGCGCGGATTTCTCGGATCAGCGCTGGAGCCCCCATGGCGACGCCTCCAACGCCGCCCTTAGCGTACTCCGTGCGCCAAGGAGGGGGTCCCGACACCGATCCGAGACATCCGCGCGGACCTCCGAGTTGTTATGTTCATGCCATTGCTTAAAAGACGAGCGCGCCCAACCATGTGCATATGTGAATACGACCCGCAAGCCGCGAGACTGGCCGCGTGATGCGAACGTTCGCGCAATGTGCACTCGAGACCAGCGTGAATTCATGTACGTGTACGTCCGTCTTTGGAGGCCTCCTAGATGGGATCGGAAAATCGCGCCGCATCGGCGATGCACCAATGATGCATCGTCGATGTCGGCGATGCATTGGCGACGACGACGTGACGCAAATCCGGCTCCACATCGAGCCGCATCCGCGATGCATCGGCGATGCGGCACGATCCTCCGACCCGATCTACTCCGACCCCATCTAGGGAGGCCCAGATTTAGGTCGGGCATGTCCCCCCACAGGCGGATTCTGGAGGAAACATGCAACATAGTGAAGCCATACCCGAAAAGAGTCGAACACATGTAAGGAAAGGTCGTTCCCAGACTATTTTTTGGCCTTTTTTGAATCTTACTCCTGTATACAGAGGACACGCCCGGCTGACGCCTCGATTCTTTCGCTCCCGACGTGCGAAACGCCCGACGGAGGCAGCGTTGGCCGCTCCCCCAGGAGGGATGGCCTCCGCCCCGCGCTCGGCGGGCGGCGCCCCGGGCGGCTTGGTCTTGGAGGGGGCGCCGCCTCCGGCGGGGGCCCTCCTCGCGGGGAGGCGGCGGAGGCCTAAAGCGGCACGAGCAGGCGACGGCAGGTCGCGCTCCCTCGAGACATACAGCGCCCAGATCTCATCGGGGGCGGCCAAGAGGGGGGTGTCCAAGATGGGGGGGTGCAAATCATGACCGGCGGCATGTGCGCGGCCCAGCGGGGGTGCCAGGGACGCACTGAAATAAGAAGAGGCGCCATGAAATCTGGGGAAATATCATGGCTCCCGTCATGATATCCCACCCCCCTAGTCATCACCCCCCTCTTTGCCGCCCCCGATCTCAGGGCTCTGCGCACGTATATCGCCGGGACAAGTCTCAGGCATCCAAAATGTTATGATTTTTCACCATGGAGCCCCGCCAGCCCAGATCCTCTGCCAAAGGCCGGCTTCTCCTTCCGAGCCGTCTCTGGACGGCCCCCCCGGCCCAGCCGGGGCCCCTGGAAGCCGGAAAGGGGCAAAAACGTAGGGTCGTGCTTCCAAGGAGACCGAGAGGTACCTATGCCGCTACTCACCGGACCTCTCCCAGGGCGCGTTCTGACCAGAATGTCGAGGCGAATCCAGCGGTGGCAACGAGGGCCTCCCAGGAGGCCCAAAAAGGGGAAAACGAAGGAATGATACTGGTATTGGTAACGCCTCATCCTTCTCCGAGTTTTGCCCTCCGCGCGACTTTGTCCCCCCTCCTTGGCGGCGCGCAGAGGGGGGTAGGGGGAGGGGGGAAGGCTTCTCAGAAGAGGAAGCTGCATCTTAGAACGTGCCAGCCTTGCAGGGATGCCTTTAAGAAGTAAGAACCCCCCCCGCCCCCCGCCCCCCGGACCCCCTCTGCGAGGCGGGGATTTATCCATATCCACCGCCTGGGAACCGACGTCCTGGTGCCCCAGCGGGCGGTGGACATGGACATATCTCGGCCCCCGGGGGCCCGAATACGTCCATATCCACCGCCTGCCGAGGCTCGGGAGCGGCCAAGAGGGGGGTGTCCAAGAGGGGGGTTGCAAATCATGACCGGCGGCATGTTCGCGGCCCAGCGGGGGGGCCAGGGGCGTAATGAAATAAGAAGAGGCGCCGAGGAAATATCGTGGCCCCCGCCATGAAATCCCCCCTCCAGTCATCGCCCCCCTCTTTGCCACCCCCGAGAGGCTCCGAAAACTGACCTTCCAGGCGGTGGCTGACTACCTACCAGACCACCCCAACCCAACCCGAAGACCCCAATTTCGGGGTGGGGGGGTACGGGTTCCATATATGTTTTTTCAATGTTCCCCGACCCCCCCCAACTGGAAATGGAGGGCAAATTGAGGCCTTCGGGTTGGTTGGTGGGTGGTGAAGGGCCATGCACAAATTCCCGCATCAATGATCGAGGAGGAGGAGGAGGCTCCAGGAGGATCGAGGATCGAGGAGTAGAGGGAGGATCAAGGATCGAGGAGGAGGAGGAGGAGGAGGAGGAGGAGGAGGAGGGGCTCGGACCCTCTGCGCGTGGCCGCTCCTCCCCTCGGCGACCCGCGGGTGGCGGATGCGCGCCCTGCGTGCGCCGGCCCCGGGGGCGCCCCCGCCGGCGCGCGGGGCGCCGGGCGGCGCGTCGGGCGGCTCGGCCAGCGCCCGCACCGCCGCGGGCAGGCCACCCGACGCCCAGAGCAGCGGCTCGAGGTAGCCGCACACGGCCGCCTCGAGGCAGAGTCGGACCGTACAGCGAGGACCCACGGCAGGGGCCCAGACACCCTGGCGCCTCGCAGAAATCGGGGCGGCGGTTTTTGTTCGTCGTCTTCGGCCCTCGAGGCTCAGGACGAGAAGCCGGTCCCGGAGGGGCGGTGGAGAAATCTCGGGGCCCCGGGTCTCGGGAAAATCGGGATGCCCGATGTCTGGGGATGCAAGGGCCTTGGGGCGCTATATCGACACTTTGCGAGCGGGGCGCGGTCAGCGAAGTCGGCCAAGGATGGGCCAAAGGGGAAGGATGCAAGGGTAACCTTAGAAAGCTGCTCATCCTTACTACGCGGGCTGACTGTACCCGCGCGTGGGGCGGAGAGGGGGCGAGGAGCCCTGAGATCCAACGTCTCGAAAAAATCGAGACATCGTGAGAAATCACGACTGGAGCCCCAGACCCCATCTTTCAAGCGCAATTTTTTCGAGCGGATCCACCTGTGAGGGTCCCCAAGCCCGAAACGGGGGGCGAAAACGCCCGGCTCGAAAAAATCGAGACGCCAGGATCTCAGGGAGGATCGGGACGGGCGCGAGGTTCGGGCATGGAGGTTTGAAGGAGGAGGAGGAGGAGGAGGAGGAGGAGGAGGAGGAGGAGGAGGAGGAGGAGGAAAGGGAGGAGGAGGAAAGGGAGAAAAAGGAGGAAAGGGAGGAGGAGGAAAGGGAGGAGGAGGAAAGGGAGGAGGAGGAAAGGGAGGAGAAGGCAAGGGAGGAGGAGGCCTCGGGGCCGCGGCTCGAGAATCGGCCGACTCGAGCTTCTCAAGGGCTTCTGGGATGCTGCTCGTCGCCACGGCTGCAATCCCCTGGAGGGGGTCTGACCAGAGCGCACCCCCGGGGGAGGTCCAGGGGCGGGGACGAGGATCCCCGAAGACGAAACCAGAACGAGGATCACATCGGGTGAGGATAAGTCGGGAATCTCTGAGATCCCTTAAAACCAGGCCAGGACGAGGATAAGATTAGGTCGGGCATGTTCCCCAACAGGCGGATTTTGGACGAGAAATAAAACATAGTCAAACATACTCAAACAATATTCAAACATACTACAAACATCGTCCCCAGACTTCTTTTTTCCCTACCTAGGCTCTGCCTAGAGGGTTCTTACTCTCTTAGCTTAAAGGGGCCGGGCAGTGTAAAGCGCCCCGGGCGGTTCCCCCAGTCCCCGCCCCGCGGTTCCCCCAGTCCCCTGGGAGCTGTAGCTTTAGCTTTTAGCTTTAGCTTTAGCTTAGCTTTAGCTTAGCTTTAGCTAAGCTTTAGCTTAGGTTTAGCTTAGCTTTAGCTTAACTTTAGCTTAGCTTTAGTTTAGCTTTAGCTTAGCCTTAACTTTAGCTTAGATTTAGCTTACCTTCAGCTTAGCTTTAGCTTAGATTTAGCTAGCTTTAGCTTAGCTTTAGTTTAGCGTTGGCTTAGCTTTAGCTTAGCTTCAGCTTGGCGTTAGCTTAGCGTTAGCTTAGCTTTAGCTTAGCTTTAGCTTTAGCTTAAGCTCATATTTAGCTTAGCTGTAGCTTATACCTAGCTTAGCTTCAGCTTAGCGTTAGCTTAGCTTCAGCTTAGCTTCAGCTTAACTTTAGCTTGGCTTTAGCTTAGCTGTAGCTTAGCTGCAGCTTAGCTTTAGCTTGGCGTTACTGTTGCTACTAATGCTGCTTTCCTAGGGGCTCCAACTCCCAGGTAGGGTCGCACTGGGATAATTTCTTGTGTTTGTGTGTGTGTGTGTGTGACTATTTTTGAATATTCCTCCTGTAGAGGGACGTGCCCGACGTAAGTATAACATCGGGTGAGGATAAATCGGGAATATCTGAGATCCGGCGGCTCTGGAGGACGTCTCGGGCGCCGCGGCCGTCCCAGAGCGTTCTGGAACGCTCTGAGAGCGTTCCAGAACGCTCTGGAACGGACTTATCCTCGCCCCCATCCCCGCCCGAGACGATCCCTGACATAGTGAAACAATCACGAAGGGATGGCTTTTGCAAGTTTCGGCTTCTGGTGACGCTTGCCGCGGCGAGGGGCCGTCAAGAAACAGAAACGGCCCAAGACGAAGAAGCTGGTCCCCAAGAATGGGTCCAGACCTTTGGGGGGCACAATGTGAACAAAAAACGGCGTCGAACTGTCGGATGTCTGGGACGAGGCAGGTGAGCACGCAACCACATGCGAAATCCTACCCCATGCTGGTGAGATTGTAGGAAAACTGGGTGGGACTCAGATTCTGAAGGATGTTGCGCAGCGAAGTGACCTCCAGCGGGGGTGTCCGATATCGCGGCGTCGACTGGACTCGCAAGGGTAGAGCTCGCATGTGGTCGCAGCGTAAGGGCGAGGACTTTAAACTCGCGTGCTCAGGCATGCACGTGGGTGCCCCTGGTCTCGGCACCCTGGCCGAGCGCACTAGCAGCGCGCTCGCGGCAGGGTGGGCCAGCAGCCTCAGCGCGCATCCTCTCTAGCGGCAAGCGGGGACCAGCAAGCTGATGTCTGCTGCCAGTGCACCCGCCTCCGCTGCTGCTCTCCCTGGCGGCAGGCGACGATCAGCAGGCTAACGGCTGCTGCCAACACTACCGCCTCCGCCGTCTCTGGCCGCTGCTCCGCGGGATCTCCATCGCGTTCGCGGCCTGCGCCTTCTCGGCGTCCTTGAGTAGGAGCCGCTCTGGCTTGCCCCTACTGGGCCACTGCTTGCGCTTCGAGCCCTCCGCCTGCTGCTCCTCCTCGGGCCAGGCGTGGGTCTTCCACTTCTGCTGCCCTGCGAACTCGTGCTGAGCCCCATCCGTCTTGGGCTGCCACTTTGTCGCGCGCCTCGGCGCGCACCAGCTGGGGGTTGTTTGTGCGGCCCCCCACCGCGCATGGACCGTCTGCGCGTCGCCGTCGCTCTGCTCCGTCTCGTGGGCGCACTGGGGACGGCCCTGGTACTCCGCGATGCTCTGCTGGCTGCCGAGGGCCACATGCAAGTGCGCGTCCACGGTGCGCACCTGGCCGTCATCGATGCTCTCCTCTGCCTCCTCTAAGTAGAGCTTTCTGCCCTGGCCCTCCGCGAAGCTCCGCGTGTGGCCCTCAGTCCACTGGGCGTCGCCGTCGTTCTGCTGCTCGACGTTGCGCGACTGGCCCTCCCCGCCGTCGATCTCGCCCTTCTTCTGCAATGTGTCCAGAGCAGGGAAGGCAGGGACCTCCACGAGCGGGGCGAGCATGTGCAAGTTGCCCAAGGCCTCCTCGAGCTCCTCTATCTGCTTGCCCTGCTCATCGATCACGTTGGCGAAGTCGCGCGTCTCGGTCTCCATCTGCTTGATCCGCTGCTTGGAGTCGTCCAGCATCTCCCCAAGGACGTGCATTTCCTGGTCCTGCTGGCTAAGCTGCATCAGGAGCTCCGCGTTCTGGGCTACCAGCTGGGCCTTGATCCGCATTGCCTTCAACAGCTCGGTCTCCTTCTGCTCCATGGACTGCTTGCGCTCCGCCTTTGCCGCCTCCAGCTCCAGCATCTTCTCGCCCAGCAGCTCCTGCCAGGAAGACTTCTGCTCGAGCTTGCTCTCATTCTCCCTGGGCCCCTGCGCGCTGGAGTCCGCCTCCTCGTGCGCGAGCTTGGACATCCCGTGGGCCTCTCCGCCAGCACTGAGCCACGCCCGCGCCTGGTCGAGGGCTTCGTCGCCCATGCCCGGGTGGCGAAGCAGGCTCGCGGCGGTGTCAATGCCCCGCCAGGCTCGCTCGAGGTGCGGTGGAGGCCTCCCCCCCTGGTCCCTGAGCTTCTCCAGCCCTTTCGCCAGGGTGCTGCCGCCCAGGGCGGCGACGAGCTCAGCGCCGCAGCCGACGAGGCGCTGCGCGTGGGCTCCGAGGCAAAGGCGCCCCTCGCCCTCCTGCCCGCCTCCCGCGCGCGTGGCCGCCTCGGCCTGCGCCTCCGCCGCCACTGGCGAAGGCTCCGCCGACTGCCCCTTGGCCTGCAGGAGCAGCATGAGCTCGGCGGCCTCGCCCGCAGTGCCCACAGACGCGAGGGCGGCACCGTGGCGGACCGTGAGCCCGCGGCGCCCGCCTCGCCCCATCGCACCGCCAAATGCCGCGCGCCAGGGGGCAGCGCGGCCGCGGCGCTCGCGAGGGCGCCTCCGCACGGGTCCCAGCGCCTGCCAGGCCCCTGAGCCAGAATGGCTACGGAGCGTAAGGGCGAGGGCAATGAGGAGGAGGAGGAGGAGGAGGAGGAGGAATGGAATGGAATGCCCAAAGGGGGAGTGCACAGCACTAAATAATCTCAGCTTAATATAACTGGGATACGAATCGGGGATGAGGGAGTTAAAAAGAGGGAAACACTCTGAAAACTCCCGAAGCTATCCCCTGGACCGAGCATCTCGGGCGCTCTCCTTCACTCGAATTCGCTCGACTAAAGCATTCATTCTTTGCTCATAGGAGGGGGCCGTCTCTGTGGCCGAAAAACTCGCACGGACATTCGTGTCAGAGGTGTCATGGGGCTCGGGCGGGTCGCGGCGCAGCCGAGTAGCAGGGAGAGCCTTATCAAGCAAGGCCAAGACGCGACGATTCGGGCACCGCCCTTGCCTCACCATGGAGATCACCTCTAGACCTTTACGAGCGGGGGCAACACAGTGACGGCCTAATTTCTCAAGCTCTGCTTGAGACCACCTCCACATTTCAAACAAACTATGGTTTGCTCTCGAACTTGACACACCGAGGCGCCGTCGCCAGTTTCCCGAGCCAAACCAGCCTTGGCGATGAGGGAATGACCCAGGGGATTCGAGAGCAGCCGACTGGTGTGACTAGGAACGCCTTTGCAGCCACTCATTGGGGCTCCGTCTGGCGATCCTTCTGCCACCAGCAGACATCTTGTGCACTGCAAACCTAATCCACCATGCTTCCAGCAGTGCCAAACCACAGTCCGCTTTGAGCGGCCTGATCTGATCCGCACAGGTCTTTTCCACCTAACCTCATTGGGGAATAGCGGGAGGACCTCTGCGGCTAATTGCATGAAGCTCTGCGCACGGGTGGCTGCGAGATTC